AGATGACCTTGGCATTGAGCTGGTGCTCTTCATACCCGTGGCCATGCCTCCCTCTGCCCTGAACAAAGCTGAACACAGGGAGGGCCAACTCACTCCACTGGTTTTCATATTAGTGAATTTCCTTCTGTTTAACATGGGTTTCTGTTTTGGGGGTTAATACTTTTAAAATTTATTATGTGGATTTTATAGTTGAATTCATAAAAGTTCATATCGGTCAGTTGGCACTGAACATTTCTGTAAACATATACTAAAGTTTCATACTTTAAAATAGTCAAAAATAAGTTAGCTATTAACATATTATTGACACGTAGTAGGTGTTTAATTAATACTAAGGTGTTAAATGGATGACTGAATTTGGATTTTCTATTTGAGTCCCACTTTATAAAATATGAAAATTTGTGTCTCAAAAACTATTTTAAAAAATAACAGGCATATTCAGTCAGGCCTTTGTATATTATGTGGCAGATGATGCTTATTAGGCACCAGATTTCTTCTCATGCACCATCTTCCTTCATTCTCCCTTGTGCGTGCGTGCGTGTGTGTGTGGGTGTGTGGGTGTGTGAGCAGTAATTAGTAGTAGAGAGGGCCAAAGGTTCTGGGGGAGAGCACCAAAATCTCTTTAGTGTTTCTGGGATATAAAGTCAAGAAGGACAAAATAGAAGGCTGAAGAGCTAGGCAGTGACAAGCAATAAAATGCCTTTAGTGCTACATTAAGGAATAAGGACTTCATACTGCTTTGGATATAAGAAGTGACTGAAGATTATCAAATGAGGAGACAAAGCCCATTGTATATTTTAAGTCTATCCTTCTGGAGGCAGTGGAAAGTATGTGGGAGGACAAGACAAAAAACAAGGAGAATATTAGGAGGTTTTGTAATAGCCTCAGTAAGAGATGTTGGGGGCCCCAAATAAAGCAATGATAAAAGGAATGGAGAGATTACCGATTCAAGAGACACTGGATGTACAGTCAAGAATTTGCAATAGATGAGGAAGAGGAGGGGAGGATACCGCCATGCTGCTTGCTCCCGTGGCCAGGTTGATGGCGGCCCCATCAAATGAGAGGACACGGCAGTAGGAGGTTGTTTAGGGCAGGACAGGTGGTGAGCTGGACTTGCTGTGTTGAAGGCACCCAAGAGTTAGCTGTGGAATGAAGCTGTGAGCTAAGGATGGACACCTCAGGAAATTCCAGTGTTGAGAGAGAAAGCAGTGCAAGTGCCTCATACATGGAATGCAGAGAAGAGACAGTCTGAGGGGTAACACAAAACACAGTCCTGGCACAGAAGCCATGAGAAGAGCTTCACAAAGAAGGAAATGACGGACGTTGCCAGTACCCAGCACACCAGGGTGGTCCAGTGCGGTAAGAATCATAGGACATCTTGTCACCTGGTCTTCTTGGTGAGCTCTGGGATAATCAAGCTTCTCTTTAAAGTGCCCAAGGAGGGGGTGCCTGGGTGGCACAGTCGGTTGAGCGTCTTCCAACTCTTGGTTTCGGCTCAAGTCATGGTCTCAGGTTCATGATCTCAGGGTCGTGAGATCGAGCCCCGCATTGGGCTCCACACTCAGTGCAGAGTCTGCTTGGGATTCAGTCTCTCCCTCTGCTTCTGCCCTGCCCCCCAAGTAAGTAAACAAATCTTAAATAAATAAATAAAGCACACAAGGAGGAAGAATTTAGAGAGAAAAGCTGCCCACTGTGAAAATAAATGCTCCCCTCCTCAAACACTGTGAGGCACCCTGATCTCAGGTGAAGGTTCAATCTGAAGAAAGATGGAATTCCCTTCTTGATTTAATCAAAGCAAAATTACTCAATATCTAAAGCATTAAGAAATTCAGCCCTTTAAATTCCAGACCAAATTCATTAACTCTCTGGACAATATTTAAGAACTTCCCCTCCAGCCTCCCCAAGTCAATAATAATACCAAGCATACGGTTATGACATTTTTGCTACCCCTACCCTATCTACAAAATGTAGTCGTTGTTACATCAGATTGAAATAAGTATTAACTCTTTATTTTTTTCTTCTCATTAAAACTATTATTTCTTTTAGGCCTGGCTTACTTTTTCAAGGTCTAGGCACAATAGACCTATTAAAATATGCCTGCTGGGCGCCTGGGTGGCTCAGTTGGTTAAGCGACTGCCTTCGGCTCAGGTCATGATCCTGGAGTCCCGGGATCGAGTCCCGCATCGGGCTCCCTGCTCGG